GGAGGACGGAGGCGGCACCAAGTCTGTTTCGGGCAGAAAAACAGACTTCCAAGACTTAGTAACCTCCTCATGCACTTCCGGGAAGAATGTAACCGGAGGCGGCTGCCGATGCCCGGCCTGCGCCCCCCCCGGAACCAATTATCCAGCCTCGAGCGTTCGGGAGAAGGAGGAGGCCTCCAGTGCAGCCCGACACTCTCGGCGGCCCGGGAAAGCATAGCGGTCAGCTCTGGATCTGACTCGGGCAACACCACTCTCCCTGACGGTGGCAGCGCAGCTGAATCCTCATCTCCAGAGCCTAGCTCGCCCTCCGATGCAGCGATCGACATCCTGTCCTCTGCCTGTGTCCCGCACAAGATGCTGGACCCCGTCCTGTCCGAGGACCCAGCACACTCGTCCGGAAGCACCAGGTGGTGCGACATGCTCGAGGAATGAGAGGCCCGCGGAGACGTACTCAACGGGGAAGCTCTCACCATAACCCTCAGGTCTCCCTGACCATGAACTGAAGTAGCCCTCCGAGAACCGGAGGAGCTAGAGTGGGGCATGGCAAGGGGGATACCCCCCCGTTTAATGAGGAGGTATCTAGACCGCAATGTCGCGATGGTCAAGTTCCCGCACTGAGAACATGACTCATCCATGAGCGCTGTTTCAGCGTGCTGTAAGCCCAAGCATGAGACACAGCGATCATGACCATCAGATGAAGCCAGGAAACGACCACATCCAGAAATGCACGAGCGGGAAGCCATCTTTAAAAAGACGCCTGTCGCTCGTGGAGCTCTTTTAGACATTTGCTCTTTTAGGAAAAAAGGAAACACTCTTTTAGAGAGAGCGCTGAAGCGCCCAGGGGAGGTCGCGGCGAGACCGCAGAATGGCAGCTGCAGCACGCAGAAGATGAGCAGCACTGAATGGCAACCCCCGCTGACGTGCCGTAACACCAATGCTAGGCTGTTTCTTTGCAGACACTCGTGGAGATTTGTCCTAGTAGAAGGCTTGGCTCCGAAGCGAAAAGCTGATGTGCGTTTGCACGCGCTCTCCTTTTATACCTGCACTGCGGGGCGGGGTGCGCGTGGCGAAACACGCACGCCAACTCTCATTGGCTTGTTTAGTTAACACTCGAAAGTGATTGGGCTCTCGGGCGAGATCCCAATTTGTCAGTCACGACTGACGTAACGTAGAACGTGACTGACTGAAAGGGAACTACTAACTAGACTTGCAACCAGTTATATTTAGGTAAGGCAAGTTTACTTATATAGCACATTTCATAAACAATGGCAACTTAAAGCACTTTATATCTTTACATAGACTATTAATTGAAAGAGATTGAAATCATTAATTTTAAAGTCATCAACAGAAATGCAGTATGAACGAGAGTGTGTCATATTGACCTGTAATCTGTGCCCTCTACTGGACTCCATATGTACGTCCTCTGGACCTCGTCAATGTAATGCTAAAAATACACACAGAAATAGCAGCACATTACCAACCAGCCATAAGATCATCACACTGTATGCCATTATATTTAGTAAGAGGTCATGTGGCTCACCTCATCCACAGACTTCACCAGTGTCTTGATTCTCCTCTGTCCTGCTTTGCCATCAATCATTTGACGGCGGATCTACAAAAAGATAAATACAAGATAGAATCAGAATCAGAAAGAGCTTTATTGCCAAGTGTGTTTGCACATACAAGGAATTTGTTCTGAAAGCTTCCAGTACACAGAGACAACAACAACAACACAGTTAATAAGAAAATACACATTTGAAACCGAAATAGACAAAATTTGTTGTGGTACATAGATGGAATAGAATAGAATTTACAATGTAGGGTAGTATTAAGTAAGTAAAAGTGGTATTTGCACATCTTTTTATTGAACAGTAGGGGAGAACATTTAACTCTTCATGAGGTAGATTGCCTGGGGGAAGAAACTATTCTTGTGCCTGGCTGTCCTGGTGTTTGGTGCTCTGTAGCGCTGGCTAGATGGTAAAGGTTCAAAAAGAAGGTGGCTTGGATGAGAGTGATTTTCTGAGCCCTTTTCCTCACTCTGGATATTTACAGTTCTTGAAGGGTGGGCAGGGGAGCACCAATAATCCCCTCAGCAGTCCGAATCGTCCTCTGTAGTTACTGAAGTGCACAGGACAGACTCAATGATGGCTGAGTGGAACTGTGTGAGCAGTTCTTGTGGCAGGTTGAACTTTCTCAGCTGGCGAAGGAAGTACAATCTCTGTCAATGTGATTGTCCCACTTCAGGTCCTGAGAGATGGTGGTGCCCAGGAACCTTAATGACTCCACTGCAGCCACAGTGCTGTTCATAATGGTGAGTGGAGGGAGTGGTTGGTTTCTCTTGAAGTCCACGATCATCTCCACTGTTTTGAATGTGTTAAGCTCCAGGTTGTTAAGACTGCACCAGACAGCCAGCTGCTCAACTTCGCTTCTATATGCAGACTCATCACCGTCCTGGATGAGGCCGATGACGTTAGTGTCGTCTGCAAACTTCAGGAGCTTGAAAGTGGGGTCAGTAGAGGTGTAGTCGTTGGTGTAGAGGGAGAAGAGCAGTGGGGAGAGGACACATCCCTGGGGGGCTCCATTGCTGATTGTGCGGCTGTTTGAAATGAATTTTCCCAGTCTCCCTAGCTGTTGCCTATCTGTCAGAAAGCTGGTGATCCATTGACAGATAGAGCTAGGAACAGAGAGCTTGGTTAGTTGGGGTCTGGAGGAGTGCTGGGATGATTGTATTGAAAGCTGAAATGAAGTCCACAAACAGGATCCTCACATAAGTCTCTGGTTTGTCTTGATGTTGTAGGATATAATGCAGTCCCACGTTGACTGCATCATCCACGGACTTGTTTGCTTGATAAGCAAACTGCAGGGGGTCCAGTAAGGGTGCAGTGATGTCCTTCAGAAAAGCCAACACCAGTCTCTCAAACGAGCTTATGACCACAGATGTTAGGGCAACACGTCTATAGTCCTTAAGTTTATGTTACTTTATTTCATTATCCTTATTTAAAATGGCCTCATTGTATTACTAGATCAGATTACTATTTTGCAGTGTGTTCTTGGATTGTAAACACATTAAAGGGATTTAAACATGATTTAAAATCAAGCTGTGACGTTCTCAAGTCGCTGTAAAGTTTTCCAGGTACATACTGTTCAAACGTTTGAGGTTGGTAAAAATGTTTTTGAAAGAAGTCTCTTCTGCTCGCCAAGGCTGCATTTATTTGATAAAAAATACAGTATAAACAGTAACATTTTGAAATATTATTACAATTTAAAATAACTATTTAAATATATTGTAAATTTAATTTATTTCTGTGATGCAAAGCTGAATTTTCAGCATCATTACTCCAGTCTTCAGTGTCACATGATCCTTCAGAAATCATTCTAATATGCTATTTTTGCTGCTCAAGAAACATTTCTTATTATTACCAATGTTGAAAACAGTTGTGCTGCTTGATATTTTTGTGGAAACCATGATACATTTTTTAATATCAGGATTCTTTGATGAATAGAAAGTTCAGAAGAACAACATTTATTTGAAATAGACATTATACATGTCTTTACTGTCACTTTTGATCAATTTAATGCATCCTTGCTAAATAAAAGTATTCATTAAAAATCTGAAAATCCCAAACAGAGTAAGTGAATTGGGAATTTTGTTCCAAGACCCAAAAACGCTCTTCATCCAGAAGCACGTCCTACTTTGCTAAATATTTGCCCGGATATGTTGTTTGATGAGTAATTTAAGGAAATTTTAATAATGTATTAGGCACATTTGCAGGGAGAACTCGTTGTAGAGATGTTCACCTCCTCCTTGTTGCGGTCTGGAAGTTCAGCATCCAAGAAGTCCAATGTGACCGGCTCTCTGAAGTTAATGATCTACACAAATCCATTAGGAAAAAAATATTATTATGGTTACAGAGATGAACATGCATTTAAGAATGGAAGGTAGAAAAAGAAAATAACAAAATTTTGGTCTAAATTTAAGGTCTACAAACTCAAATGCTTTTCACCTTAGGCTGTAGGTTGGGGTGCAGCAGCACATAGCCATTGGGATCTATGGCAAACGTGTAACCATTGGCTCCAAGCTGTGTACAGAGATGCAAATGAATGACTGATGATCAAAAGAAAAGTGACAGAGAAAGTGATTTATTTCACTTACCTTATACCGCGGTGTGAGTTCTTTAATTTCATTGAGGGCGATGTCTACACCCATGACACCAAGAATCAACTGATTCTGCAACAAAGAAACCAACAGACTGAAAAATACAATAAACGACCACAAGGGGGAAGAATTGATATTTTACAAAACTACAGGTAATATAACGGTCAAATCAAACAGTTAAAAACCAAACTGGATTAATGCCTGGAGAGTGAAATGTTTGTCAAACAAGCAAATTTATAGATTTTTATGTTATACATAATGTTGAGCTGTTGTATCATAGTTATCATTACCATTGTCAAAGTCTAAAAGAATATAGCTTTGGTAAGAAAGCATCTGCTAAGGACATAAATTGAAGAGCAAATAAAGCGAGAAGCGAATATGCCTCCAGGAAAAATAACTGATATGTGATGACGCGCAGTGTGTTGAATTATAATGTGCTCTGCATTTATCAGTCACACTGGCAGGACAGTTGATCATCTAATGGAAATATTACTCATATCAATGCACTAAAAAAAATGTGTGCAAACACTACTGATTCAATTCTGAACCATTCAGCCAAACAGACAATGTTAAAAATATAGTTTTACCTGGAAATATAAGTCATGGAAGTGATGGCAACTGCATTCAAGGCAATTATAATAAATACATATTATATATATATATATATATAAAACCCAAATGCTGTTAATAAATGTTAATTCAATTTCCATTAATTCCAGGCTATTATAATAAATAAATAAAAGTATATATATATATATATATATATATATATATATATATATATATATATATCAATCTCAAATGACAAATGACAATCTCAAATGACTTTTATGCATTATAATAATTATTTTTCACCAACAAAAATGGTTTTAAGCCATAACTGAGATTTATCTCACTGGATTATTATAAACTAAATATAAACTGATATTTCCTACTGACAAACTACAGCAAAAGATATAAATTCCTGGCTTAAAACCATTTGGGTTTTTGTTTTTTGATTGGTGAAGATACTAATGGCCTAAGACTTTTGCACAGTAGTGTGTGTGTGTGTGTATATATCCAAATCCAGTAAATAACCAAACAATGATTTAGAACACCACACTAATTATGGACATTTTATTAACATCTGACAACAAGAAAGTGGCCAAATGTAAAATATTAAATATTATAATTATTTTATATACTGTATATATACATAAAAATAAAAATTCAAAAATAAGTCTTAGTTCATCACACTGTTTAACTAACATCTGACAGACGGAAATGATCCAAATACTGATAAAATGATAAAACACATATACTGAAATATACTGTTCAACAAATAAAAGTTCATTTAAACCTTTCAGACATTTTGTGCACTGTTTTGCCCGATAAATGTGATTGTGTAATTCAACAACATTCATACCGTTTAACTGAGGTTTAAGTTTTCAAATACAACTGTATGCACTATTAATGATATTAAACTTCAAACCGAACTTCGAATCACACTCAAACGCCCTTGTGCGTCTTCAAAGTCAAGCCCTATTCAATATGCATTCAACACGATTGTGAAACATGCCGCTCTCAAACAGTTTGTCAATGTCAGTTAGTGAACATGCTAAGAATTAGAACTGGAACGTGATCACACTAATAATGCAAAAACTCCATAATGCAACATTTGCATCGTCCTGCGGGGTACGAGAAACAAATGACTAGTTGTTCATTTACAGTCATCTTCTCACGACTTACTTTGGAGTCCCCGTCAGTGGTGAGATTGAAGACTGGCATTGTGCCGGTAATGACGAGCCCCAAACCCTGTAAAACAAAACAAAAACAAACGATGCAATATAAAATGTTTGTTTTCATCGCTGTGAACTAAAGGAAGTTCACAGTACACTGCACACATGGATAAAAGATTGCCGCATGTAAACCGCCGTCCAACTCGTAGTAAAATTATATGGTCAATGACAAAGCAAACTAGCTGTGGAGATTCAAATTTGTGCATTCTGGAAAGGAAACAAAGAATGAACAATATCACAGTCAGTGGCCGCCTCTAACAATGCAATCCGAAACTCAGTCTTAAATCAATGTTTGTGTGTTTCAGTGTCTCCTACAGAATGTTGTTCTTGCAGCAGGGTGCTGTAAACCCCTAACGCGCTAAACAACATTTCTAACAGCATTTCTTCAACAATTTCTAAACAAAACACTTATTTTAATAGAGCTCTGTTATGCATATGTATATTTAAAGGGGTCATATGATGCGATTTCAATTTTTCCTTTCTCTTTGGAGTGTTACAAGCTCTTGGTGCATAAAGAAGATCTGTAAAGTTGCAAAGACTAAAGTCTCAAATCCAAAGAGATATTCTTTATAAAAGGTAAGAGTTAACCACACCTACCTAAAACGGCTCGTTCTAACACGCCCCCACATACCTACGTCACTGGGAAGATTTGCATAACGACGCCCAAATGTTCACGCAAAGAAAGAAGGCGTAACTTTTATTCTCGCTGTAGTATTGTTGACGCTGCAGCCATGTCCTGAAGACGCTTTGTGCTTCGTTGTGAAAGCGAAACTACTTTGTTTGGTCTCACACTTTGTCCCTAGACCAACCAATCAGTAAGAAGACTGAATAAAGTTTTACTAACCTTACAAAAGAACATTCATTTCAAAAAGTTTATGACTCAGACTTAACAGTGAGAGCAGTTCAGTGAGTGAGTCATCCAAGCTGATTCACTCAGAAAGTGAGTCACCTGACTGATTCAGTCCATGATTCAGACTGATGATGCGGGTGTTCTATACCAATTGAGTCACTAACTGGTGAATCAATCAAAAGAATCGCACCAATCAGTGGATTTATTTGCACAGAAATGCAATACAATTCAACTATTTATTGTCAATATGCTATTTTGTAGTCAAATGTATGTGCAATGATTCCTATTATCAGATATATTTCATCCAGAAATGTGTAACCTAAGGGTATGTTTACACAACGATGTTGTACTAAAAAGAGAAAAGTTTTTCCTTTGGGTTCTGATTGTCAAAACAATCCCTGTTCACAGGATCCACAGAAACGACTAAAAATGCTGTTTTATGCATGCCAGGCCAGTAGTTGGCGATGTCACTTTGTAAAAAACACTATGCGCATGCATACATACCTATAGACACATAATATGCATATGCATGATGTCACCATTTTCACAAAACAATATTGTTTTTAAAAACTTGTACTTTAAAACCCGTTTTTGAAAGTTAGTGTTTTCAAAACTCCAAAATTCCGTTGTTGTGTGAATGAACGTCCAAAATGCATAAAACGTTTTTAGCTGAAAATGCTGTTGTGTAAATGCCCCCTTGATCAGTGGTTATCAAATGGCCGTTCATGAACCCAAAATAAGGTAATGGAAATATTAATGTCTACTATTGATTATGATATCACTATACAGTAGATGCTTGATTTAACTGCATTTTTCTGCAAGATAAACAAACACACAGATCAAGTGGGCTCAGATTATGCGCCGGCTGAATCCATTGGCCATATTTGAAATTATACAGTGCATGGTAATCTTCCATACCAGAGCATCCTGGTAAACATTGGTCCACTGCACTTGTTTAGCCCGTTCACCTGCCAGCACCATTGGCCGTCCAAGAACATCCAAATACTCCTGATAACAAAAAAACAACAACAACACAAAGAATTCAAGACAAATACCACAAGAACTTTATTCCAGTTCAATTTTACAACAAACACACCCAGAATCACCAATCGAAACAATCTGTTCTCAACAGATTACAACTAATATCACTCTGAGCTCTGGAAGTGCGACACTAAAGGCAGGAGTCCACACCCCTCCCTCTGTCATAAAGCAAACTACAGCGACTCGCCGCTCCATTACATAAAGCACACTGTTAAAAGCGTCCGCCCGGGGGGCCAGTAAAGCCAGCTGCACAGAGGCACTTCCAGCCGTAACAAATCACCATAAAGCAGCTATTAAAGCATGTTACAGCTGCTAGAAAGCACATTCTTGCTCTGGAGGGGTGAGGTGGGCTGCCACAGGACGACACTTGTTGGGTCGCCGTAAGCACACGTTTATAAATGACACTTTGGATTTCAACACAACACTCTTTGGGAGGTTAATCATTCAAAGAAGTGAACCTCACTAAAAGTGTCTGAAAAGAATGGGGTCATTTTAGACCCCAAAAGAGTCAAAAAGAGGAAATGAAGCTTATTTTAGGAAAAAATCTCATCCTCATCACTGTAAAAAAAAAAAATATATATATAAATGTAATAATATTCTATATTATTATTATTACATCTATTTATCTATCATCAAAATTATTAGTTAATCAAAATAAAGCTGAAATAAAAGAGAGAAGCAGAAATATGATATGAAAATATATACAAATGTAAACACAAATTAGAAATAAGTTATTACAATTATTAAAAAGTAATTATTAAAATAAGTTGAAGTTGAAGTAATAAAAATACTAAAACGAACTAAATATATTAAAACCAAACAGAAATAGAAATGAAAAATGTGTATACAAAAAATATTTATATATATGTATAGATAGAGAGATAGATAGATAGACAGACAAATAGATAGACGAGAGATGATAGATAGATAGATAGATAGATAGACAGACAGACAGATAGATGATAGATAGACAGACAGATATATAGATAGATAGATAGACAGACAGACAGATAGATGATAGATAGATAGATAGACAGACAGATAGACAGACAGACAGATATATAGATAGATAGATAGAGAGACAGATAGATGAGAGATAGATAGATAGATAGACAGACAGACAGAGACAGATAGATAGATAGATGAGAGATAGATAGACAGATAGATAGATAGATGAGAGATAGAAAGACAGACAGACAGATAGATGAGTGAGAGATAGATAGATAGATAGATAGATAGATAGACAGATAGATGAGAGATAGATAGACAGACAGACAGACAGACAGACAGACAGACAGATAGATGAGAGATAGATAGATAGACAGACAGACAGACAGACAGACAGACAGATAGATGAGAGATAGATAGATAGACAGACAGATAGATAGACAGACAGATATATAGATAGATAGATAGAGAGACAGATAGATGAGAGATAGATAGATAGATAGACAGACAGACAGAGACAGATAGATAGATAGATGAGAGATAGATAGACAGATAGATAGATAGATGAGAGATAGAAAGACAGATAGACAGACAGACAGATAGATAGACAGAAAGACAGATAGATCTATAGATGATAGATAGACAGACAGATAGATAGATAGATAGATAGATAGATAGATAGATAGATAGATAGATAGACAGACAGATAGATGAGAGATAGATAGATAGACAGACAGACAGACAGACAGACAGACAGATAGATGAGAGATTAGTATATAGTATCCAAATCAAAATGTAATAAAATTAATTTATGTGTGATTTATGATGTGCAATGTCTTAGCCACTAGGGATTGTTACATAGAGCTATACAGGCATCTAGTGGCAACACAATGATATTACAGATACTAAATTGTGCAAAATGTTTATCTTAACATCATTCAGATTTGTGGAACTCAATGCACTCAATTTGAATCTCCACAAATTAGTGTCATTACTATGACAACCAATTTGATTGTGACAAGCAACTGGTGTCTGAAAAGAATTATATATATATATAATTTGGGGGGGATAGGAATTTCGCCTAGGGCGTCAAATTGGCTAGAAACGGCCCTGATTCTGCTCACCAAGGCTGCATTTATACAGTAAAACAGCAATATTGTGAAATTATTATTACAATTTAAAATATATTTTTTTCTATTGTAATATATTGTAAAATGTCATAGCCGTGGGAACATATTTTATCTGGGGGGTGCTGGGGGCGGGGCTTGATGTTTGTTTTTGACAAAATCCTAATATTAAACAGCCCAAACTCAAAACAAAAATTAACATACAAATTAAGACAGAGTTATATGCGAAAATATACTATATTTGTCCTTTTGTGACTTTAGTTCAAGAATTTTTTCTTTAATAATTCTATTATTTAAGGGGATTTTACTAAATATTATCAATGCTGATAAGCTAAAGTTTTGGTCAGTGCACTTTGGCAAATTCTCTCAGAAATAACAAAGTGCAGATGTACATGCGATGTAAATAAGAGACTAATTCATCATACACTGCAGACAACATCACTGATTATAACTTTTTTTAAAGTGCTTACGCTCACGCTCATGCGGCATTATAATTAAACTTAAAATGTATTTTTATTAAACGTGATCAGGTCTTATTTAAATATTTTTGTCATAATATGGTAGCCTACTTGGCTAAAACGTTATGATGTGCGTAGTTAACAGATTACATTAGGCTACAGTGCCAGTGGTTTGAGCGCGTTTGACCAGATACTAGAGCGCAATTAAAGAGCTGTGCTTATGTGATTGCCGGGGGCTGTCTTGAGAAGCGAGAAAATGGCTCATAAAAAGGACGAGGACTTGAATGCTTTTTACAAGTCGGAATGTAAAATTAGAGTAATATCGCGTGAACATTTCACATGAAATTCTGCAAGTGTGAGGGGGAGAAGTAGAGACGCACGCCGCAAGGCGCACAAGTAAAATACAACCTCACTAGGCTATATTTCTGGTCAGTTTATCAAATAATTAATCACAAAACTATCACAAAAATTAAGTATCTTGGGGATGATCGAGGGGCACAAGGAAAATGTCAGACCCTCAGCACCCCTAGATCCCACGGCCATGTAAAATGTAATTTATTCCTGTCATCAAAGCTGAATTTTCATCATCATTACTCCAGTCTTCAGTGTCACATGATCCTTCAGAAATCATTGAGATCTTCAGAGATTCTTTGATGAATAGAAAGTTTACTGTCACTTTTAATACATCCTTGCTGAATAAACATTAATTTCTTAAAAACATATTACTGACCCCAAACATTTAACATGTATTGTATGTGTATATATATAAAATAAGAAGCAGTAGAAATGACTAACCTGTGTGTTGATTCTTATGGCTCCAATGGAAGGGATCTCAAAGTAGTAACCTGTTCAGAAATAAACATGAACCAATAACAGAGCTGGTTAATGTTGACATATTTGCTACGCACCAAAATAAAGTGAGTTGACGAACCTAGGCAACAACTTTAGGGGTTTGCATGCGTGCTACAAACATAAATGCTGTTCAGAACAGACAAACCAGCAAAATTATATTAAACTACCTTGTTTTGACAAGAATCTAAAGCAGTTTTGATGTATTCTTTTTAATAGCAGTATTCACTGGGGCAAATTTAGTGCAATCATTTTAAGGGAATTAGTTGATTATAAATATATAGTTCAGTCATGAAACTCTGATGGGGTGTTAACGTAACTGATGATATTCAGAGAGTTAAACGACTTGGCACAAGTTGATTGGTTCATGCTGCATATGCAGCCAATGAGCTTACTGCCTTGCATTTATATGGCTGGCTAGCATTCACTAGAGATTCCTGCAGCGCGCTTTCAGAGTTTCTCTGAAACCCTCCACCTTCCCCAGCTCCACCTGTATAGATCTGCTATGGGGTTATTTTATATGCTATTTGTGCAGTAGCAGCATGTCTTAAATACTCACGGCACCGTATCGCCGTATGCATTGGCAGTAGCAAGTTCCTGTACTTGCTTGCAGCAGCAGCAATAATCTACAACTACAGCAATAACCAACAGCAGCAGCAATTCAGCAGCAGAGTAGCTGATCTGTTCCGCCAAGACCAAATACATTAACATTGTCATATCCATCACCATGCTAAAATCTTCCGAGAGTTGTCATGATTGAAATTTAATTTATTCAACAATTGATAGAAAACAGTTCCTTCTCATTTAAAAACACATTATTTCATCCAGTTGTGCGCTATTTTGTTGTGATTATGAACGTGTTTAGTTGTTAGTTTAGCAACACGCATTATATTTCAGTATGCAGACAGACTGACCAAGTGCTATGCATGTGTTAGCCAGAGACTGGGCCGTGCAGCGGTTTGATTTGTGTGCCTCTAAGTATTCAGAGGCTGATTATTGAGAGAGTGGACACACAGACAAGGTCAGTATGGCCTGCTCAACACACTATTAGACACAAGAGACTCTGAACAGAGCACATAATTTGAGGTGCCATCCTCAAAGTGTTTAGAGTCAACAAACTTCAGACTGCCACTTCAAACTTACAGCCATTTTCTCTCAACACACTCACATAGAAATCAATGCTTACATATTTTACATGTTAAAGTATTAGATTAGATATTAGATAGTGATTTTTTTTGTGTATTTGTGAATTTGCCATGATGCATTAAAAATCTAACTACTGTATGCCATAGCATAAAACACACTGAGATGTTCATAACTAACATTCAGACGTGAGAATAATTCATTGTAAACATGTTTAGTGTTTTTGTTACATACCGAAAAAACACAAAAACCGAAAATATAATCCTCATTAATCTGAATCTACATTTACACAAATTCATCAGAATCAATAAAATCTTGAAATAGCCATTTTAGGTTGATAATACAGATAGACAGATTTTTTTTCGATGCAATAGTTTTGAATGCGCATATTTTCTAAACAGGTGCCATGTGTTTTTCTAATTATCTGTGGGATGAAAACACAAACGTGGTTGAAATCATTCGCCTGAACATGAATTCAGTTCAGCCTTCACTCAGTGTTCTGTTATTGCTGTAAAGGTCATTGAACAGTTTCAGTCAGATTTTGTGGCTCATTTGAGCCGAAACCATCATTAAGATAGAAGCCGGGTGTTGAGTTCACATCATCATAGGTTGTGAGTGGCTAAAAGCTGGGCCAGCAAGATATGTCTGTGATTTTCTTGCTATCCGGTATCTAAATTAAAGAAATGTCATTGGTTCAACATAAGATAAGCCCAATTGACAACATTTGAGGCATAATGTCCGGGTACCAAAGAAAATAGAGTCATGCTGATCAGCTCTTTCAAACTATAATGAAGGTAAACAGGGCCATGCACTTTGAGGGTTTAAGAAACCAAAACATGAAATTCATGTTTTATATATGAAAAAGCACTACAGTATTATTTAACTATTACAGTACTAGTCTATTTTTTAAAATGTTTTTAAAGAAATAATATATTTTTTAAATCACAATATGACAATTATGCAAACAGAATTTTTAAATGAAAAAATACAGTTTTTAAGCAGATGTCTTTGTCAGTATTAAAAATACATAAATAAATATTCATTTTGACAATTTTTCCTTTAATAAATATTCATTGATAAATAAATACTGTGTAAACATTAACAAATATTTGTTAAATATTTAATAAAGAGTAATTTTATACATTTTAAATAAATGTATTTAAAAGTGTTAAAATTTAATAAAACACTTTAGTTTCCTTTCTCTAATTGAAATGTTTCAAATAAAATATAGCTTTCTGGCAATACTTTTTATAATATATATATACATTTTTTAAAGAAACAATGTTAATTTTTTTTACACAATATCACAACTACAGTACGTGAACATAACATTTTTATAATTTAAAAAATACTATGGTTTAAGCAGATGAAAAAAAAAAAACATGTCAAAACTGAAAATATATGAATAAATATTTATTTTTCTTTGACAAATTTTTCCTTTAATAAATATTCATTGATGAATAAATACTGTGTAAAAATAACAAACATTCATTAAATATTTAATAAACAGTTCTTTAAGAAATTAATATAATGTATTTATAATATAATATATTTTGCCTTTTTAAAAACATTTTCCCCTTTCTCTAACTTAACTAACAAAATATACTTTTCTGATCATTTTAATAGGTTTATACTCAAAACTGTCCTCAAAAACTGTGGGACGAATGAAAATGATTTTCTGTGGTAACTGCCATCATATCACAAATGTTGTATTAGAATAAGCTTAACCAGTGTTGAACCCGTAACGTCTCTTTACGAAGGCAGCAGCCCCTAAAACAACTGCAGATATGGGAAGACAAATCTAGTTCAGTTAATGAATCAGAAATAATTTAAAAGTCTTTAAAAGCGCACCAAAGTCAAGAGAATTAGAGTATAAAAACTAAAACTTAAAAAAAAAGTGTTCAGAAGATGTCTGAGGGTCAAACCACTCAGCACGCAAGAAAGAATCAAATCAAATCAATGCAAGTCGCCGGGAATCAAAGAGACTGGGAATTGGCTCTGATTCAGCGGCGGCCATATGAGACTCTGTTTGTGTCAGCGGAGTGTGAACGAGCTCGCTGAGAGACAGCCGGTGGAGTGACAACACACGCTAAGCCGTGTCAAACAAACTTGTCTCTCATTGTTGCCGCCAGTCTGATCCCTTGACTTGGTCATGATTACAAAACGCTGAATCCATTTGTCTCCGCCGCACGGGCGACATGTACAACAAAACAATAAGACGCAGACAATCCGATGCAATCCGCGTCTTAACAAGCTCGTCAAAGAGTGCTCTGTGCATGTTCAGAGGAGGAAACGTTGTGTATGCATGCTACCATTGCTTTTTGAACGAACCTAGCAGCGGCTGTGAATGCTTTCAGTCAGATACGCTGTCGAACACATATTCTACAGCAAAAGGAGAGAAGCGGACGTGGATGTGGGCTTTGTGAGGGTGTCAGGGGCGTTCCTCTGCCGCTTTGTGATATCGGCGAGTGAAATGAAAGCCTGCGGTGAAGATGGAGTCCGCTGAGAAAAGCGTCTTGCTTGCTGTGCCAGACTCCGTCCCCTCACTGCCAGTCATTACAGCAGAGAACACGGCCGCACAGACGGCTAATCCTTAAGTGGAAGCGCTTTTGGCTGGAGACGCAGAGAAGTTGCAGACGTGGTTATCGCTGCGACGGCAGTTCCTCTTCGGCTAATTAATTAGAAGGAAGGGAGGGTGGCGGGGTCTCTGAAGTGTTCTGCCACCGTTTGTTATTAACTAATCAGAGAGCTGGAGAGGGATGATTGTTAAGACAGAGTTGAGAGGGAGAGTGTTTGTGCTACAGGCCTGGAATTAACTTGTTAGGTCAGATAGGTCAACATTACTCGAGCACTGTTGACCAGGATTACATGTAAGCTCTTAGTGATTTTACAAAATGGAGAGTTTTGGCTTTAAAGGGATCGTTTACCCCAAAATGCTGTTCATTTCCTCACAGGTCATCCAAGAATTTCTTGAATACAATAAAGAAGATTTTTAGCTGAAACTGTGGTCCTTGGTGATTCATAAAATGCAAGTCAGCGGCTGCCTGTCTTTGAGAATAGAAAAAGCATATCAAGGAACATAAAATGAATTCCCGTGGCTCCTGATGATATATCGAGGTCTTATGAAGCGAACTGATCGGTCTGTGCAAGAAACTGAACATTATTTATGACATTATTACCTGTAATCCAGAGCCTCAGCCAATGGGCCAATTCTTTTCCATGAACTGGATCTTTCGAACAGCTCGTTTCAATGAACTGGATCAGTTCACTAGTTCATTCACGTAATCACACAATGACGTAATGTATACACAATTATATTATTAAAGCACCCAATAATGATGTGAAACATGGATGTATCACATGCTTAAAGCATATAAAGTGAATAGACTTCACCAGCTCACCTTTTACATAAACGATGAGAAACCATAAAAACGTTCATTTGGCGCCTTCAATCAATTGCTCGGTTCACGCATGCGCATATCAGCATTGGACTGCTTCCTCAGTTCAGTGACTGTTGGAGGAACTGGAGCGCTGAATGAGTTCAATCATCATAGGATCATATACAACAGCATTTTGGCTCATTTCGAGTTGGAGTGACTGTCTGGAACATCCAAAAATGAGTTTTGATTGAGTCCCTTTGTAGATCTGAGCTGCTTGAGGGCAAACGGTTTCAGACAATTCAGTCCGACTTGGTGAACTGATTCAACTAGTTCACTAAAGCCTAGTTCACACTACACGACTTAAAACGTCGGCAGATCGCTGTGCTGTTCAGACTACAAGACTTCTTGGCTGTCTTGAAGTCGTTGTGGTGTTCACACTATGTGACACTACGTAAATCACACGCGAGAAGTTGAACGGGAATGACGCGAAACAACAAGTGAAACAGGAGTTGTTTATTTGAAAATGGACGTCGGGAAGAAATTAGTGCTGCAAGTTGTTTGCGTGATGAAAAAATTCGCTCCATTTCTTGTGTCCACACTTTCCTTAAAGCCGTGTTGCTGCTGCCGTTTTTCTTCCGCTGACCTCAACCCATGCCTTGCTCTCTCATTGGCTGTAGCTCATAACGACACCTGACACCACGTAATGTCGAGTCGACCGACCAGTCCAGATATTTAGTTCAGTGACGTGTCAGCGAGCCGCTGAGTAGTTCACACACAAAGATTGCCGAGCACTGATCAACTGTTGATGAGCTCGTTATCTTGCAAATCGGGCTTAAAATACTGTAGTGTGAACTACAATCAGTTCAAAAGAAACATTTGTTTGCGAACCGGACATCACTCCAGACGGTTTGCCTGAGGCTCTGGATAACAGGTAATAATGTTGTAATTAATGTTCAGCTTCTTGCACAGACCAATTGTTTCGCTTCAAAAGACCTCAATATATAATCAGTAGCCATGCATATTCATTTTGTGTTCCTTGATGTGCTTTTTTTTAATTCTCAAAAACGGTCAGCCACTTACTGGCATGAATCACCAAGGACCACGGTTTCAGCTAAACATCTTCTTTACTGTTCTACTGAAGAAAAAAATTCACCTATATCTTGGATGGCCTGAGGGTGAGGAAATGAACAGCAAAGTTTCATTTTGGGGTGAACTATTTCTTTAAAATCTGATTGGACGAGTCACATTCTGAGCTGTTGTGCAATAGCCACCACTGAATGTAACTGAAGAAAAGTGAAGTAAGTTTCTGAAGACAATTTGAGTGATTTGACACACTATTGTCCTGTTTGACACTGTAAAGCTGCTTTGACACAATCAGTATTGTATAAAGTGCTATACAAATAAAGGTGACTTGACTTGACTTGATGTTTGGCGCCACAATGTTACAGTGTTCTGGCTGGTCTCTAGGGTTTGCTATGTGTTTGCCATGGTGTACTTAACATTATAAACATGTTGCTATGTGGTTTCTAGGGTGTTGCGATGCACTTGTTAGGCTGTTGGGCTGAGCATTTCTTTTTTTTTTGCAAGTTGCTATGATGTTGCTATGTGCTTTCCGAGGTGTTCTTAACATAAACTGTTTCTAGGGTACTTCTACTAGGTGTTCATCAAGGCATGATACATCAAATTGTGCCTAACAACAATCCTTAACCTGAAAAGTACAGATGCAGTTGTACAGCTGAAAAGTTCAGATTTAACCAAATCACTCTCTTACCCTTGTTGGCACAGGCGATCCACTGCAGAGGAGTGACGTCATAGTTGTGCTGCCCCACCGAGAATGTGAAAACTCTCACCTGCGGATGGAAGACGGTTTATTAGATCACATAATCTGTGTAGCAAAAGGATCTTAAAATACAGAGTAGTTGTTCCTTAAAATCTTTGGACCCTCAACTGATTTCATTTAACAGCATATGTATTGTTTTATCATTTCAAACCTGTTTTTGTGAAAATATATTTGCAGTTTTATATTTTAAAAATGACATCTGATTTATGATGCCACGGCTTTGATGTTATCTCTTTGGTCTGAAATCTTGCTCCACACAGCTAAACATCTAAATATTTTGATTGACTGGGATTTTGTTGTGTCACACGCTTTTTTTTTTTTTTTAAGGAAGGACAGAAAAGCTGCTTGTTACTGGAAGGTCATTACCACACAGACGGAAACACCAGTATTGAATTGGATTGCCTCGACTCACTGTTTTGTTTGGCCAGTTGTACTTCTCAAAGATGTCCTGAGCGCGATCCTCGCCTCCGTCTGTGAACATCATTATCATCTTATTGCAGTTTGCTCTCGGAGCGCTGGTCTCCTGTGAGAAACAGAAACAGGAATGCAAAAGATTCGTTTCGAGGGTGTCAAAAGAGCCAGGTCAGTTTGAAACTCACTGGACCTGCCTTTATGAACAGATGTTTTTGTTTGTGAAAACCCTTGTGCTTTATTCTATCCTTGCAATGCATCATTTAATAATAATGGCCAAATATCATTGTAACATTCAGGAGTGACAACCACATTTAAATACAGGAGTGAATCCTCTAAATTATCGTTTTGTGTGTGCATTTAAAACAGTCACTCCCGAAACTGTGATGATTGACATATGGTAACCATAGTACCATTCTGGTGTCATATTAAAGCAACCAAAGACTCATTATGTTTGGCGATTTCAACTAAACCATCGTTGACAGAGCCATGGTTTTGTTTATGTTTGGCAGAGCCCATTCTTGAAGGCTTGTCATGTCCATTTATTATAAGCAATGCTTATTATGTGTCTTTGGGCTTGGCTCATAAAGCGATCTTGTTTATTTTTAGTTAAAAATATTTAAGTAATATCGCTATATTTTGGCATGTGGCTAATTTCCAAGATAACACATTTAGGTTTTTGTTTATTATGGGCTTGTTCTTATTTGCTTATTTTTATTTTATTATTATTTATGTTTTTTTAGCAAGAGCTGACAACACTAAATAGTCAAAACGTACTCTGTGATTTCTTGGACCACATATATAGGAAAAAAAATTAAATACATCATTAACTACTATTCAGTTCGGTAGTCTCCGAAAAACAATGCTATAGACAGTTATTCTACTTTAAAACGTGTGTTCCGTGTCGGAATGTCTGTTTTTGTTTTGCTCTGTGTGGCTCCGCCCACTGCCAGATTACCCAATAGGATTTTAACACCCTGGGTTGCCAGTAAGTGGAAAACACAGTGTTTTGCAGTCATAGAAGTCAACAAATGAACTAGATTAGAAATCGCAGATTCTACCCGACCTAAAAAGCCTTGGCATCCATCCAAAATATTACATATTTTCACAGAATTCGTTTCAGGCCTGCTTGAATCAATCCACTACACAAATGACCTAGGCTATAACAGTGTCTCATTTGGCAGAGCACCCTCACATGTGTCTGAGCACTTATCCATGCGTGGGTGTGTGCGGGCACGTCTGTTCCTCTAATCATACGTCTGCTTTTGTGCCAGCTGCCGGCGACTGTCCTATCTCTGATGAGTTAACCAAAAGTCCCCTCTCCCTATCCCGTCCAATCACAGCTGTCATTGACATTCGGTCTACGCCACATCACTCTGACAAGATTCTAATAAAGATAAATAATACTGCTGTAATTACAAATTTACAGTGCTCTCTTCTCGGCCTATCAGGAGGCAGCGGGCAGAACAATTTAAATGCCTTGGCGCTTGTGGATCTGAGAGCGAAAGTGAAAGAGAAAGTCAGAAAGAACGAGTCTCTTCAGTCGGAAGAGAATACAGATTTGTCTGTATCTCATCAATCACACATCACGATCTTTCAGCAGCAGTCAGCCAAAACAAAAAACACATCTCACATCATTGTACACTCCATCAACACGCTTCTGCATGGTCATATTTATTGTGATCTCAAACATTTCTCCTCAGATTCTTTTAGCAAGATAATTTGAAAGCTTACTGAATGTCAACTATCGCCTCATTTGTCTGTTTTTATTGCTCAGAAATATGAGAAAAAGCTGACACTTAAATTAAATATAACTGAGAACTCTGTTAAATCTCTAAACCACTCTGAAAAGGCAACATCTGAGCAATACAATTTTCCGCTGAGTTGGTAAGAGGATGTTTTGGCATTAACAAATTTAACTAAGCCAAATCCAGCTAAATCTAGCAAAAAAAAACTCTCTTTGGGAACATCCAGGGATCTTCTCAATGGTAAAATGATTCATAGCTGAAGTAAATCATATTTTTTATATTCTAAAAATATATATCTATATTTTTACTTAACATTTTAGTTAGTATGCATGCCCAAAGAGGATTTTCTCAACATTGAAAAAGCTGCGTTTTTCAAGATCGCGACTAAAATATTTTCTCATATATTTCTCTAGTCTCTTTATTTATTTGTGGATTTTACAATTTCAAAATTTTCTGGACTTCATACCATTTCTAAGCACAATTTAATTTTTTTTTTTGAAAGACATGAACAATTTTCTTTAGCAAGGATGCATTAAGTTGATCAAAAGTGGCAGTAAAGATATTTATAATATTACACAAGATTTCTATTTCAAATGAATGTTGTTCTTTTGAACTTTTCATCAAAGAATCATGAATGAATTGTTTCAAAATTCAGCTTTTCATCACATGAATAAATTACATTTTAAAATATATTCAAATAGAAGCCGGTTATTTTAAATTGTAATAATATTTCACAATATTGCTCTTTATGCTGTATTTTTGATCAAATAAATGCAGCCCTGGTGAGCATAAGAGACTTCTTTCAAAATATTAAAAACTGCACCAACCCCAAACTTTAGATAGTTTAGTTAGTTTATTAAAATGGAACTTACTTGTCTGTCAATGATCTAGCACGTCAAATTAAAGATAATTAATTAAACATCACAAGAAAACAAAGAGAAAAAAAAATAATGCATGGCCTCTTAGGACTTCTGTAGGTTAGGGTTAGTCTGTAGTCATTATAATTAACTTTATTTAAAAACTTGAATGCAAAATTCCAGAGCATCTTCATGTAGATAAGTAGGTAAACATGAGTGTGTGTGTCTTACGTTTAACAGCTGGTCAAAGGCAAACTGAAAGCCCGTCTTATAGTCTGTCGTCCCCTTCGCTTGCATGTTCATCACAGCCTCTTTAAAGATCTTCTTGTTTTTTATGTTGGCTTGGACCAGCGTTGTGAAGCACGGCACCACAGCGTACGCTTTCTCATTGAACTGACAGAGAGACAGACAGAGAGACAGACAGCAGCTGCTTCAGCAAGTCCATTAAAAGCTTCATTATTCATCTCCATTAGCTCTCACAGCATCATCATTTCTGCTGGTAACACTCGCTAATGGAGTCACTTACACCTGATTGATTTCTCTCTCAATTCATAATTTGCTTCCACTGCAGATGAATCAACTCAGATGAAACTTGAAATCTATTTAAAATCTATTTCACAACACTAATCATCTGGATGGTTTAATAGTGCTTAAATCTGAACATCTTTACATACGAGTCTGTTTTGACCATACAAAACACTCTGCTGTTAGGCTAAAGGATCGTGAGTGGTTGACAAGGTGTTGCTATGTGGTTGCTAGGGTGTTCTGGGTGGTTACTAGTTTTTTGTCCATTTTATCATCTGTCAAGTGAAAAAGAAATAGCACACTTCTTCACTGAAAGCATAAACAAATAAATGCATTTTGTCTTGTCTTCCAGGAAAAAAATATATTAACATCCTTAAAATAAAAGCAAAATTATGTAAGATATGATATGAATATATCCTCAATTAATTTGATTTTTCTAACCTCTGTGGAAAGTAGTTTAATTTCATTCATTTCAAATTGATTTATCGTTTTATTTAATAATTTTCGTTTTAAACACAGATCCCACAATTCTTTTTTAGATTTACACTTAAAACAAAAATAAAATAAAAACAAAATCAATTTACACTAGTACTACTGATTGTCTTTTTATTTTTATTTTTGACACAATATCTTCGGAAGCTTGTTTCCACCACAGGATAAAAAAAGGTAATTGCAACTTTTTAACTCATAATTCTGAGTTTATATCCCACAATTCTGACTTTTTTTCTCAGAAATGCAAGAAAAAGTTTGAACTGTGAGATAAAAAGTTGCAATTACTGTTTTAATTTTTTTTATCCCATGGCGGAAACAAGATTCCATAAATACCTGTCGCATCAGTACAGCTTTACTTACTGAATGCACAGAACTCAGCATAAAGCATTTATGTGTGTGTGTGTGTGTGTGAGGAAGCACAGCTGTGAAAATCTGAGATACATCCGGCTGTCTTGATTACAAGGTTCCACACCGCAGGTGTGGAGGAAAGAAAATGCCAATGCAAACAAAAATGAAAAGAGAAATGGCATCCTAAAACTGCCTATAGGAAAGAAAAATCCCTTTGAGATGTCTTTTACTCTTCCTTGATAGAGACAGGATTAAAGGAAGCAAATTGAGACTTCATGAGAAAATGTACCAATGCCTGATTCATGTTCATGAACGAATCATTCTTTTGAGTCGCACTGATTCGGTTCTTGAGTTTAACTCACTGACTCCGCAGCTCATTGTAAGGAAGATTATCAGCAAAAAAAATGACTTATATTTCAGTCTGTTTATCACACAAAACTATTATGGGCTACTTTTACAGTCCATTTTGTGAAGCTATTGCTTTAGCATCTGCATGGAAAAGAGTGACCAGCAGAGGTTGAATCCCTCTTTTTATGTTCCACAAAGAAACAAGGATGCATAACACAAACTGAATTGCAATTTTTGGCTGAAATGCCCCTTTAAAAAAACCAAAAGGGTCTATTTTGATTTGATGATACTCTAAGTGTCTGGAGGTAAACAGCAATAAACACACATGGTGACTCTAATGTGGTCTAAGACTGCTTTTCTTCAGCGGGCTGTAGAATGAGCTGTGTTCCGGCTCAGATTATGATGCTCATTTTATGCTCTCAGAGCCAGGATTAGGAAACACACACTGAGAGCCCCAGATCAGCCCGGATTACTGGCGTGGACCTCCAAAATGCTAATGTTTCATTACATGTGTGTGTCTGTGTATATGCGCACGCATACTTGTGTGGGTTGCGTTTGAGGGCTGCTATTGTACGATCGCAATAAATGAACCCGCTGTAGATTAAATGTTACTGTGCATCCTGCATTTACATTTTCATACAGGTTCAGATTCATGGAGGATTCACAGGACTGAATATTAATCTTGGTGTTGTCTCAAATGTGTTCACTAAGAATAACAGCATATTCTCACTAATCAAGCAATGTAACGTATACCTCACTTCAACAATATATATATATATATATATATATACGTAATATTAATAATACAAATATTTTATTAGCATTACTTGATATAATTGTTAAATATTAATAAATATTTCTATATATAATTATTTATAATAATAAGATAAAACAGTAATGATCATAAAATTATAATGTATATACAATATATATGAAATGTGGACTATGCCATCATTTGTTGATACTGTTCATAAAACCTACCCGAGCCACATTTACATAGTCGTCATCAGAAAGTGTGTCCAGCATCTCGAAGACAGAGGTTTTCATCAGCTTCAGGGTCAGTCCGCTGACACTACCGCTCCTACAAACACACAGAAATCACACACCAAATACATCACATGCACAGAACGCAAACGTTACTACATTACAACATTTATCTAACAAACCAGTCATATCTCAAAACAGCACTGCACAGAAACACAAGCCCAAAACTGCCGTTGTCAAGCAGAAGCTGTTGCTAAGTGTCTCCACCGTTCCGTCCATCAAAAGTAAATCGTAGACGGCACATTACAAAGCGCCATCTTCACAAACAGAATGGAGACAGTCGATTTTCAAAAACAAAGTACATTTGAATTCTATGCTGCAAATTGGATTTATTAATAGCCTACAACAGCTATTGAAAAAGCAATCACAGAGCACGAGTTCATGTGTAATTTGGCTTCCAGAGTTAGAAGGTTTAATAAAGCCGAGCACACTGGGAAAAAAAACCCCTGGTGACAGCACTATTGTCTCATGCTTCCAGTTGTCACAATGAGATTAGTCTAAGATTGTCAGAAACGTTCAGCGCGATGGTACTCTTGATTGGCATGAGATTGCTTTGGCAAAGCAACAGCTGCAATTGGTGTATTTTTAAATTAGATATCGGTATCTATTTAAGGTTATGGACGATTGCCAACGAGTGACAATTAACCTCCATTAAGCAGTTTTTCTCGAGAGGTTTACTTAAGAATATTAAAGCTTTTTTTTTTTTTGACGATTATGCACATAATGGATGTATGATTGAGGCAATCACTTATTTGTTAATCTATGCAGCAGTGTTACTAATGACTCTAAATGCACAACACTTAAGGTTTGATAACTAAAACATGTCAAAGGCGAGAGGTTTACTTAAGAATATTAAAGCTTTTTTTTTTGACGATTATGCACATAATGGATGTATGATTGAGGCAATCACTTATTTGTTAAACTATGCAGCAGTGTTACTAATGACTCTAAATGCACAACACTTAAGGTTTGATAACTAAAACATGTCAAAGGAAGGAGGATTCACTAAACATAAACATTTAACAACAAAACAATTATTTTGATAATGCATTTCATTATTGCTAAAATTACAATTCTATGAACTCAAAAAAATGCAATGCATACCTTTCAATAACTGCATCTGTAAACACATCTGTTTATGTATGATGCAAAAGCGTTTTTTAGATTATGCATTTTAGAGGTCAGATAAGATCAGAGTCGCTTTAAATTTTCCACCAGCAGCTCAGATACTGGCAACAGTAATGCCATTTTTCATTGCGTATAACCTCTAAGTCATATTTGGGGGAACAAGGTAGCATTTTGATGTTGAGGCATGAGGTTAATAAGATGAAATAATGTTCTTCTCAGCTGACAGGTGGCAGTAGAGCACCACACTGGTGTTATGGCATCATAAACAACACATTTATCAACACAGATGACAGTGTGTGTTAATGCAGTGCATATGAGACACACAGAAAGACGGATGGAGAGTGTGTATGTGTGGTCAAGAGGATACTTACACGTCTACGATGATGACCATATCCTTTGGAGAAGAAGCTCCCTGAATGTACCTAGTAAAAGTACAAAACAAGACTAGTCAGTGCTGATATTAATTGATATAAATTGCCAAATACGCATAAAATGAGTGTGCCATGAAATACGTAATGTAATGCGTGTTGTAAAGATCGCGAGTAAAAACAAAAGAAGACGAAAAGCTTACAGCAGCATGAGTCGTGACTGTCACGTTAGCCTGATGGGACCAACTCTACTTCTACTGTTAATAAGATTTTGGTAGGCTACTATTAGATGGATAGCCTAAATGTCCTAATTCAGATGGGCTACCTGTTTTTTTTTTTATGGTATATCAAAAAGTGTTTATTTTTTAAATGTGATTGTTGGTACATTTTACCAGTTTTTTTCCATACTTTCAAAACAAAAATGAAAATAGGAAAAATATGCAATATGAAAATAATTGAAGACAAAATGTGTTTTACTGAGAAAAAACAAGATTTGGTTTTTAAAGAGCCTTTTTCCAAAAGGTACATCTGGAAAAAGTGGGGTCGTCTTATATTTGGGCCAATACGGTAGTTCATAAGCCAATCCGAAGGTGGTTTACAGCTAAACAACAAAGCAACTTAGCCTATGAAGTCTACTGTAACACATATGATACATGAAAAACCTGTCGTACACAATCTAATACATGCCTTCTGTCGTCTGATTGATAGTTTACACTATTTAACAAGTGAGACGTCTTTAAACCTTTTTTTTTTAATTTTTACAAACGTCCACCTTCAGCTCGTGCTTCACGTGTCTTTTTGCTGTGAAATCTTTACTGATTTTATAAAGTAAATGTAAGAATACATTTTCTATTGTTAGTAATATTTCAAAATGAACACTTACTAGACTGAAGAAACTTGGCTTTACTTGATTATCCGTACATCATTAAAAAAAATTAAAAATCATGTTCAAATGTGAGTATCAAATATGATCATCATGCTTTTGAGGAATGTTTATTTGTTCATCTTTCATTCATCACTGTATTGCATTGTATTATGTGTTTTGAATCTACAGAGCTTTGAATATATATATATATATATATATATATATATATATATATATATATATAGAAAACAGTTATTTTAAATTGTATTAATAATATTTCACAATATTACTGTTTTATTGTATTTTAATAAATTTTTTTTACAAACGTCCACCTTCAGCTCGTGCTTCACGTCTCTTTTTGCTGTGAAATCTTTACTGATTTTATAAAGTAAATGTAAGAATACATTTTCTATTGTTAGTAATATTTCAAGATGAACACTTACTAGACTGAAGAAACTTAGCTTTACTTGATTATCCGTACATCATTAAAAAAAATTAAAAATCATGTTCAAATGTGAGTATCAAATATGATCATCATGCTTTTGAGGAATGTTTATTTGTTCATCTTTCATTCATCACTGTATTGCATTGTATTATGTGTTTTGAATCTACAGAGCTTTGAATATATATATATATATATATATATATATATATATATATATATATATAGAAAACAGTTATTTTAAATTGTATTAATAATATTTCACAATATTACTGTTTTATTTAGAAAGACAATGAGCGATGCATGGCACTTTTGTCACAGATGACAAAATAAATAAATAAACGGCCTAACGCCGCATCTGTCCACCGCTGATAGAGGCTGACATATAGAAAACACTAGTGAAGCCATTTTCACTTTTCCCCGTGCAATTAAAAATGCATTACACCTGACAATCAGAGCAAGAGATTGATTGACTTCATAAAGCTGTTGTCTTATAACGACCTGGAAAACCGCTTCGGCATTTGCGTGGTGAGGTGATTGGCTGTAGTGTAGACAGGTAGTTAGCGCTTTGTGCTCACAGGAGCAGACCGATCGTCGAGGGTCTCTTCTATCGCAGTAATCAGGCTGAAGAGGCGACGTGAGAAGTGGTGCCAGGTGCCCATGGCTCGTTGAGGAAGGGTTTTGAAGCATGGCTAAGCCCTGGAAAAATGGAAAAGCCCTGGCGAGCCACAACACAACACACAACTCTAACTAGCACACTCCACTGCAAACCTGTACGCTGAACTCTGACCCTCATTTTGGAGGCCAATCCGGTTTTAATGCCACTGGAGAGTGCTAGATGTGGAAGGACTATTACAGCTGGCTGAAAGGACAAACACAGCAGAGCTGAAAGACTGTAGCTAACAATAACAATGCTCAGACATGAGTACAAAGCTTTTGGCAGTAGAAGTGGGTGAAATTAAATAAGTTCTTGATAACTGAAGATGCTACCTGAAAGGTCAGACCTTCTCCATGAGCGCTGGCTATAAAAATAGTTTTTTTGAAGCACAGTGGTACTACCTTTATCAGTTTAATGACAAAAGTCTTTAATTTGAATGAGTATAATGTGAGTGAGAAAAAAAGAGACAACTTTTATGCTTCTGATACACTAGTATGTATGTGAAAACCTCACAGAGGAAGTATGTGAACCCCTATTACATATTTATGTTATGTTACTCGCCCTCATGTCGTTTCAAACCCATGACTTCTTTCTTCTAGAAGAACAATATGCGGAGAAGATATTTTGAAAAAAGTTTTTTTGTCGTCCATACAATGAATGTTATTTGGACCCCAGTACTGAAATTTTTACAGTTTTTGGGTCAACTATACCTTTAAATTTGGGGACGATAATATAAATAAATATATATAAGTATATATATATATATACATACATATTAAAAAAAGTTTTTGAAAGACGTGTAAATCTCATATGCTCACTAAGGATGCATTTAGGTGATCAAAAATATAATTACAATTTTAAATAACTGTTTTCTACTTGAATATTTTTTAATGTGTAATTTATTCTTGTGATGCAGGAATTTTTCAGCATCATTACTCCAGTCTTCAGTGTCACATGATCCTTCAGAAATCATTCTAATATGCTGAATTCCTGCTCAAGAAACATTTTGCATTATTTTTTGAATATCTATCTATCTATCTATCTATCTATCTATCTATCTATCTATCTATCTATCTATCTATCTATCTGTCTATCTATCTGTCTATCTATCTGTCTGTCTGTCTGTCTGTCTGTCTGTCTGTCTATCTGTCTATCTATCTGTCTGTCTGTCTGTCTACAAGTAAATGGGATGATGGCATATTCTACTATTATGACTCATTTATGGTGATTTTCCATATTTTTGAAGCATACAGCTGCAGTCCATATTCATTACAACTGCATATCCAACATCGACCAGCATAATTCTTAAAAAAAAAGTCTGTCCTTTTGTGCTTCATGGTAAAACGTCACACAGGTTTGGAACGATGTGAGAGTGTAGTTTAATTACTTAATTAAATTACAGTATGCGTATCTTATAGCTTGGCAGGCTACAGTTTCAAATTAGCATGCTGACATCAGTGCTCTCAAACAGCAAAGTACGCAATATGACATCAGACACTGAAAATTTATTTCTGTGAGAAACAGAGGTACACTATATTTCTCCATATTTAAAATTCATCCCAGCTCTGTTTGCTTTTATGCAATCAATCCACAGCGCACTGGATTCAGTTTGTGCCATGTTTGCTCATGTTCTCACTTCTAATAATGCCGGCCTGTGTTTCTGCTCAAACAAACACACACTTCCATGAATACAGTTTCAGTAAACACAGGAGGCATAACTGGAGGTTGAGAGGAGCGCATTAGGAACAACGATAAAACTCCAATAAAAAACATAATTACATTTTCCAAGCCTAAAAGACGTGCATACCTCATAAATACCACATATGACGAAAAATAAATGGACTAAATGAAGGAATTGAGTTTGCTTAGGATTTAATGTGTGGACTCTAAAGAATAAAGGCCTGTTCATGTTGTGTAAATATTCGGTATGAAAAACATACACAAAAAGATGGTGGCTAGATACTTTTTTTAATGTTTAGATAATTAATAAACTGTGTGTGTGTATATTATGTGTGTTTTATTTAATCTATTCTCTCTCTCTCTCTCTCTCTCTCTATATATATATATATATGTGTGAAAAACAAATATGTTAAAAATAAAAATTTAATTATTTATTTTTATATTACATTTATTAATAATATTAAACTAAATGTATCAGGATTAATGTGATAAATTAATAAAAAAAAATTTTGTCAACTACAATTTGAAGATGTATAGTACAGCTATGCCTTGTATATATATATGTATATATATATATTTTTTAAAATTAATTCTCATATAGAGGCTTTTCAGGATTCAGTCACTTTCAGATGGATAAAAAATTTTTTGGTGGAAAACCCAGTTTTACTTGGAAGTAAAATATGTTGTTGACTTTAAAAGAAATGCTGACAAAACCATGACAATCTCTTTGTTCGGTCAGTAAAAGGTACGATTAATGCTAACATATCTAGGAGTCCATTAAAGCCGGGCAACAGATCTGAGCGTGTCAGTATCATTCACCATCACTCTAAGGACTCCGTTTCTTTTGGCAATGGTATTTTTCACACTCTAGTCTATATTCATCTCCACTTTGTGACATTGACGTTCCCGATCTGTGCTCAGCTCACTGTACCATCCGTGGATCAGCCTGATGGATCCAGATGTGCAGTTTCTGCATGGATTGCACTCCGTAATTACCCCTCCACCGAAGCCCAGCGATGCCATTCCTTCCCAGTCATTACCCACACTCCCCAGCACCCCGGCCAGGTGACATGCAGATGGGCCATCACAAACCAGGTCCCCCGGTCCACCCGCTTACCCACTAAACACACACGCTCAAGAAGGACTATCAGCAGCACGGTCATCCAGAGCATCTGCTGCGGCACCACCAAACCTTTGGACACACCTACTCAATCTTCATTATTCTAAAATTATCGGAAATATAAATAATGAAGCCATCCCAGCTATGAAAAACACGATGGAGTATGAGAATTAGTGACCAAACTCTCTTATATTTGAGTTTTTTTCCTCTAGATTCCAGTTCTGCTTCATGAGGTGCATCATGTGATGCTTTTAAACAGGACGAAACATGTATGATGATGCTTTTCCTT